TAATATGAACTTGAAATAAGACAATGCAGTTGTGTGTACATTGTCCTGTTGCATTGGCAAAATGTCTCTTTCACCTCCTCAATTCAAGAAAAAAAATCACTTTTTTTAAGAAAGTATGACTTATCTAGATTTTGATTTTTTTTTCCGGTGTATGTCTGAAATGTGACTCCTGCAGAAAAAGAAAAATCGGAAAACGATTCAACTACTTACATTAGGTCAGCAATAAATATAAAATTCTAACTATTTTCAATTAAGCTAAGTATATCTTTAAGTTTGAATAAAAAAAGCATAATATCTTCTGTCAAATCTACTATTAACAACCTTGGACATAATTGTAAGAATATGTTAATTCTATATAGATGTATAATGAGTCTGAGGAGGGCACTATGCAGCAGCAGCTGTTTATTTGTGCCTCAGGATTCTGTTGATGGGGTTCTCTAAGTTTATTGTTCAAGTTTTCCTCATCTTCGGGTTTCACTCTGCTGTGACCACAGGTTTCTTTTCCTAGTCTGCTTGCATTTCAGGGGGAACGATGTACATACTGCTAAAAGGAAAACCATCTGAAGGAAACGTTGAACAGAAATGGCAGGTTTCTCTCCAGGCAAAATCCCCAAATATGAGTAAGATGTGTTTTTTTTATTTTTCTTTCTCTTAATGTCTTGTGGTGTGTCTTATCGCCTTATGCTTCCTGTCACGCAGAACAAAACCTAAAAGATGTTCTTATTGGTGGAAATACAGGAAGCAGCATTCGCATGATTCCACTTCTGCTTTTTTCCGTAGAAACAGGAAGTGATCGGAGGTGGGTTTGAGTTTCATGTTCCCTCTTTAAACTGATGTGTTGGATCAATTCTGACTGGTATATCTCCCAAACATGTAAACAGGTCAAGTGAATCAGTGGCCTCCTTCCAGACATCATCTGCCTCCTTCCTCTGTGAACTGAGGCGCTTCCTAGATGCTGTCCTGCCTCAGCAACGCACCGAGCCCCCTCTATTGCCGCTCGGCTCCCTGCAGTCCCTTCCTCCTCTGGCTCTCGGCTTATCCACCAGCGAGGCCCTGTTGGCGGAAATCATTAACTCCTCTGCCCCCACTATCTTTTCCTTCGCCAGCTGGAGCTCCTGCTTCCCGGTGCGTCCTGGACAGCTGGCCCTCTCCCCTGCTCTGCTGGAGGAGCTTGGGCAGAGGCTGGAGAAGAATGAGCAGCAGATAAAGGAGTTGATACGGCAGGAAGCCATACCACCCAGATCATCAGAGAAGCTGGAGAGACTCAGAGAGCTCAGTGCTTTTCAGAGGCAGGAACCTGCAGCAGAAGGTGTTAGGAAAAAAAGCATGGGCCTTTAAATTATGCTGTTTAAGAACGAAGATATAAACTGATCTCTTGTTTCCTGTTTCAAACAGGAGAGAGCCAATACTGCGCCTTCCTCCTCCTAAAGGCCCTGCAGACGGTGACCCATGCATACAACATACAGGGAAAGCTGAGGGCCACCAGAGCAGGCCCTTCCACCAGGGGACCCATCTGCGGGCTGGGTAGTCTCACAGTGTCCCTCGAACAGCTCCTCTTGGGCCCCCAGAGCGCCAACCTCAACAACTGCCGCGGCTCATGTGCTTTCCCGTTATCCAACGGCAACAACCACGCAGTCCTCCTGAACTATCACATCGAGAGGGGCAATGTGAACGAGCGGGGGCCCTGCTGCGTGCCGTTGACCTACGACCCCCTGGAGGTGATTGACTGGAACGACGAGGGCAGCTTTCTCTCCATCAAGCCGGATATGATAGCCAAAGAGTGCGGCTGTCGCTAAAAGTTTGTGGCTTTCTGCATGCAGGGTTTATACAGTTATGGTAAATTCACATTATTTAAACAGATATGTATGATTCTTTCACATAGATGTTACAATGTGCATGTTTTATTATTCTTTCTGTCCTCATATGTATAACAATTCAAACATTAAAATAACCATGATCAAAGACAGTCTGTACTTGGTTGTACTTTTTATTCAGGAATCCTGTGAATCCATCAAAGAAAACATTTTTTATGCTTCACTCTTTAGCTTTCGGTTTTAGAATTACTTTTCTGCCTATTGGCTTTTTTCTTCTCCGTATTGCTCCAAGCTCTTCGGATCCCCACCAACTGGTCACACTGTCCCATATGGAAAACTGGGAAAAGAAATAGGGAAATAACACCATGAATGAATAATGAAATGCTCTAACAATTATTTCAAGGCAGGGACACTTCCAGAACGTTCTCCAGGGGTCAGCTGGATGGGGGCCACTGATAATGACAACAAAACTAAAAGATATAACAGAGATTCTGAAAATGTCCCACTAAATGCCCTCTCCTAAATTAATGCATGTAAAAAAGCCTGATTATTAGAGGGCCAGAGTGTTCAAAAGGGTGACTGTTGCCCTCCTGCAGCTCACTCTCTTCAAAACCCTTCAAAAATGTCTTTATTGTTGCATCAGCTAAAGAGTAATGATGGAAATTGAAATGAGTAGAACTTTACTGTTTTGACTTTGGAGATACATCACATTTCATGACGTTAAAGGGGAACACCGTTTTTTTTTTTTTTTTTACATTGGCCCTTGATTTTACGTTATCACATCATGTTCTACTCACCAATATGAGTTTTGTGTCATTTGGAGCCGTTCTGAAGATATTCCGTTAGCTTATATTCAAGTAACGTCTTCCTATGGGCAACGAGTTGAAGGCACAAACTAAACTGTTCATAATGTATTCTGTATGGTACGCCAGCATTCATAACATGTCTAGAAATATATAAATATAAAAAATATAAACGCGGATGTCTAGGGTACAGTGATTCGCCTACATGTTATGAATGCTGGCGTACCATACAGAATACATTATGAACAGTTTAGTTTGTGCCTTCAACTCGTTGCCCATAGGAAGAAGTTACTTAGATATAACCTAATGGAATATCTTCAGAACAGCTCCAAATGACACAAAACTCATATGGGTGAGTAGAACTTAATGTAATAACATAAAACAAAGGGCCCAATGTAAAAAAAACTGTGTTTCCCTTTAACAAATACAAAAGCGAACGGAAAAGGATTTGAAAAGAGGCACTTTTTGCTGTTATCGTAGCTGCAGGGTTTTTATATTACTTCTATGTAAGCTTTACACATAGAGGCATAAAATTATAAATTTCCTTCTTTATAATTCTTCTCATCACAAGATATATTACATTTAAAAGGAAGTTTCTCAGAAAAGCATTTCACTGTAGCTCTGGCTGTATGTTTATATTTACATTGAAGATTTTATTTTGCTCCATCTGCCTTTATGTATGTATATATGCACACATATATATATAGTGAATTCTTTTTTTCTATTGTTGTTTGTTGTTGTAACCTAGAAAACCAATCCAGAGGACAGCGTACCCAAAGAATTCACTCAAAAAGAAGCAGCAAAACTTACAAGAAAATTACTCAAACAATAGGAAGCAGAGTAAACCATCCAGAAGGTTTTTTTTTTTTTTCAAAATGTTTCTCCAGTTAATGTAACTGAATAAATATAACCACTACCCACCTCTGCTGACTGCTCAGGTGTATCAACAATAGGATAAAAAGAATTCACCAACAGCTGCCTGCACTGCTGTATTTATAGTGGTTAGGGCATAGAGCTTGGATTCCTGAGGTTCTCGGTTCGAGCCTCCTACTTCCACAGACTCCCACTCTGGGTCCCTGAACAAGACCCTCCAATGTGAGATCAATAAAGTTCAATTATCAAAAATATAAATTATTATTACATATAAATATTAATAGCCAGTATCGCCCTTCTGGATAGATGCAAACTACATTTGGTTGCTTTCTACTTGTGACAGTGTAATGACAGTTAATTTGAATCCTACACTATTCTATAAAACAGACCAGTCTGAAGTAGATTATTTTAACATTTGTTAAGTCCACAATATTGCAGGAATATCTCAGCATCTAAAATTAAAAA